GGGACTGAGCGATTTCAATGAATTTACAGGTCAGCTGAAACTCCGATCGGCCAAGGTTCTGCTCGTTGGAGCTGGGGGATTGGGATGTCCAGCTGCGCAATATCTCGCTGGCGCCGGCGTTGGCACTATTGGACTCATCGATGGGGATACAGTCGAGGTGTCGAATCTCCATCGACAAGTGCTACACCGAACGAAGAATGTGGGAAAGTACAAGGTGGACAGTGCAATTGAGTCCTTGAGAGAGTGAGTGGATCCGCATGGGAGTACTGAGCTGGCCGCTAACCATTCGTTGTGACACTCACCAGACTGAATCCGCATCCCACGTATATTGCCCATCGAACACACCTCACGCCCGAGGCGGCATCCGCAGTATTCCAGGACTATGATCTCATTCTCGATTGCACCGATAATCCGGCGACACGTTATCTGATCTCGGACACTGCAGTGCTTCTTGGAAAACCATTGGTCTCTGCGTCCGCCCTAAGAACCGAGGGCCAGCTGATGGTGTTGAACAACCCGCCCCGAGCACCGGGTGACAAGACTGGAGGGCCGTGCTATCGGTGTGTGTTCCCGAAACCACCACCAGCTGATAGCGTGGTTAGTTGTGCGGATGGTGGTATTATAGGGCCAGTTGTTGGGACGATGGGCGTATTGCAAGCCCTGGAGGCGATCAAAGTCATCACTGCACCTGAGATTAATGCAGGCTCCGATGCGACCACAGTTCGTCCACGGGAGCCTCCGTCATTGCATATCTTCTCTGCCTACTCATCACCGCTGGTCCGCACAATCCGCCTTCGTTCGCGCCGGGCCAATTGTGCCGTGTGCTCTGCTGAGGCAACTGTCACACTGGATACAATCAAATCAGGGTCAATGGACTATGTGTTCTTCTGTGGATCCACAAACTTGCCCTCGTTACTTGGTCCCGAGGAACGTATCTCTGCTCGAGAATACAACCAGAGACACCCAAATGTCACCTCTGATTTGCCACAACTCCATACGATAATTGATGTTCGAGACGAAGCTCAGTTTGGAATCTGCAGTCTGAATAATAGCATCAACATTCCTATCTCAAAGATACTTTCCTCGGGTTATGCTGCTAGGTTACATGGGGCCGATGATGCGCAACAAGCTGCTCAGGTACCTTCTTGGTTACCGTCTGAGGTTGCCTCCTCTGAGTCTACGAACCCAATCTACGTCGTCTGTCGTCTAGGAAACGACTCACAGATCGTCGTCAAGAAAATGAAAGAGCTAGGACTAGATCAGCATGGGAAGAGATTCATTGGTGACATTCGCGGAGGACTACGATCATGGAAAGAACAGGTGGATTCATCGTGGCCCGAATACTAGATGAATCAGACTGCTATATTCACACATGAAATGAGTGTCCGAAATACATTCCTTCCTTTTCCTATTGTTACCCATCAGCCAGCTTCCAGTGCCCACTTCACGGCCAATGACGCTGTGAGAGAGGATGACAAAATCCTGGCTCTATCTATATCCACCACCAATCGGTGTGAACTCGACCCTCATCGAGGTTACCGAGTGTCTCGAAAGCACCACGGCTGACGTCAATATCAAACTCCCCACATCCCTCACAACGATCTACCAGAGTGACATCTACTCCCCTACCACCCCGTTGGATGTGGATCAAACGTCCACAGAGTGGATTGTGGTTAGGGTTGCCGTCTACATTCGCCCGGTCAAAGACAACATGAGATACGGCGCATACGTGGTCCCAATCGTTGTTTAACCAGCCGCATGCTCCAAGCCCGGTGTTATACCAGGTTAGATCACCGCCGGTGGCCTGGCCTGTGACGGGACTGTGTGTATTGTTTGACTCGCTGGGACTGTGAGCAGAGTCAGCATGGGCCTCGATAGATCGTAGATACAGAAATAGGAAGAGGAATGAAAAGGGCATCCGAGTTCGTCTCTGTTTACTTACACGCTAGGATCACGTGAAGTGATGGTTTCGAGAGGATCCATGGGAGCACCAATAGCCAATCCCATGAAGAGGAATGCCATCCTGGCTATGACTTTGCACTCGAAGATCGCGTTGGAAACCATTATCAGGTCTGCTCTTTCTTGGATTTCAGCAAAGGCGATGGTTCTGATAGTTAATTTCAGGTCAAGGTTGGATTCGTTCGTTCTTTATATCATGTTTCCGTGAAGACCTTTTGTCCTTGAACGGTGTGTATTTACGCTCAACAAAATGCCGCGGAGTATCAGAAGCAATACCAAAGAACTAAATCGGAGTATCTGAAATGACCGGGGTGAATGCAGTGCATTGATCGAATTTTTGCGTTGTCGCTCTCTGTATGTTAGCAAGGATAGGAGAGCAGCACACATTTCCACAATCTTGTTCATTCAACCATATCCATAGCTTGGCATAATATTACGTTAGAATCACTTGGGAAAACTATAGTGCAGACCTTGGGGCACTGTCGAGTTTACAATGTACGAAAACTCGGAAAATCGGAGGAAGCGATATAACCCTAATAGGAAGGATACACTCCGCAATTCATTCGGTATACAATACACTCTGTATAACGAGTCCTTTTATCCGCAATATTCCTCGGCGAAGTCACTCTGAATAACTAGCACACATCCTGTGGGAGTTTCTTTAAGGTCATCACACTTTCCTTTACTCCGGAAAATGACTTCAAATTATGTAGGAAGCTATCCTTCCACATACTCACCTTGACATAGGCACTGTATCCTGTCCTAATGTACGATCAATGATATGCAAAGGAACTATTTATTCGAGAGAACTAGCCGTATCTTATTCTACCCTTTACCTTGGAATCAATACACCCCTCTCACGGCCATCCGTAGACTATCCGCAGGAAATGACAAGGGCAGCAGCCGATATGTTCATTACAAACGTGATGCAACGATTTCCAAATTGCGTCAAGATCCTCTCCCACGCTAGCGAAACACTTCCTTTCAAGTTCTCGGCTTGCTGTCACATCTCATGAAAGCCAGCGCATTATATAGACATATAGAAAGACATATGCTAATACCATAGATGATATCCGATCGTTCTATTACGGCATTACTTTGTGGAGCTCTCCTGCTGTGATGAAGCTTCTGTTAGAGCTTGTTCCCCATGATCACATAACCTAGTTCAGAGTTCGTAACAAATTAGAAAATACTCATGGGTTTCATTCAAGGCGGACTTTCCATACGCAGATTCCGACCAAATAAGTAGATTTCCAAAAAGCCTGCACAGCTTCCCAATGACTGAATCGGGGACTAGGATGCGCGAAATGACATACTTTCAGGACACTCTGCGATTTATCTAGCTAGTATACGATTGATTCACTCATTTGAGTTTTGTTTGGTATTATCGATTTTAGTTAACCTTATCGGCTACCCCCATATTTGAGATCAATAAATATAGCAATTTTCCATTGAGTCTATCAGACGAAAGAGTTGAGTTGTGAAGAGCTCTGAGTAGTTGGCCTGATTAATCAGGCTGAAACATGCGGATTTTATATGCGGAGAGCATTCCTCCCCACATACGGTAGCCAATCATTCAAGGGCGGGGTGTACTGCAAGCGTCCGCGATCGGGACTTGAATCCGACTTCTTTGCTCTTTCATATAATCCAACCAGCCCTGGATAGTTCTCTAAATCCGTCGCGTTCTTGCCCCTCTTGCAGATCCCGTCGTTCGAAGGTCACGTGGGTGATGCCGCTTCCCTGAAGATTCGGATATTTTGTGGCTGGGCCGAGGCACATCACTGTGAGATACCGGTGAATATGGCGCATATTCGATCCCATGAGTCGGGTTCATCCTTCGGGTCGTCGCCATCGCCACAAGATGCGCAAGATGATCCCAACAAGGAGAAAACATCGCTCGTCGGCTTCGTCAAAAAGACATGGCAGAAAACGGGCTTGGACAGACCCACCATCCTCTTGATGATGAAGTGAGTTCAAGGCCAAGCTTCCAATTTTCCACAATAGGAGATTTCTAACCACTACTGTAGGGGCGGTATTCCACCCACCATAGCCGTTTCTATGTGAGTTACCGACCTTGGAAATTCTCGGTCTCGGTCTATCAGAATCACCCTGACCCTTATCTAGCTACCAATCCAAACCTGTTGCCCACGAGTACACGACTTTGGGCTATCTCGTGGCCATTGTCTCTATCCTGGGCTTTGCGATCATGCCCCGCGCGAAGTTTATCCAGATGATGATCTTTGATGTTTTGGCTGTCTGCATAGCAGCATGTTTCGCCCTGTTGACCATGTTTTGCAGTGTTAGGGCGCGCCAACACACCGCTACTAACTCTGCCGATGCATACAATTCCTCCGCATCTGCTGTTAGTGGTCTATGGCTGTTCATCCAGATCTGGATGGTTCATACCTTCCGCGCCAAATACCCGCAGTTGCAATTCCCAGTAATTATTTACGCAATTTTCGCGAATATTTCTTCGATATATGCTCCGCAAATGAAGAACATGACAGCTTCATTTAAGATGGTGAACCAATTGCTTAAATCATGCCTTACTGGCCTCGGCATCTCAACAGCAACGTCACTATTCATCCTTCCGATGACATCACGGCAGGTCGTCTTCAAACAAATGGCAGGCTACATTGGCGGGCTTCGGTCAGCCTTGAACGCACATGCCTTGTATTTTCAATCATTGGAAAGAGACGACATGTTCGGTCGCACGGAGACATATGATGACGCCCGTGAGAAGTTTGGCAAGAAGGGAAAAGTCTATAGTCCCGAGGCAGAAGCCATCCGCGGTGCGGTCCGACAGATCACAGATATACATGCCAAACTCCATGGTGATCTGACATTTGCAAAGCGTGAGATTGCATTAGGGAAATTGGGACCTGATGATCTTCAGGCGATTTTCCGTCATCTTCGCCAGATCATGATCCCGGTTGTGGGTCTGAGCTTCGTGGTAGATATCTTTCAGCGCCTGTCAGACTATAATAGATGGAATCAGCCCATTGATCTCAACGAGCCTGTGGTTCCAGAGGACATCCGAGAGCGCGTTGTCCACGAGTGGAATGATATCATGAGGGCAGTACACGATCCCTTCGCGGTGATGATTCAAACTATTGATGAGGGATTGCTACATACGTCCTATGTTTTCGGGCTAACAAAGCCACCCAAACGCAAAGCTACAACGAAATCTTCAGCTAATAATTCAACGGAGGTGTGCGAAGATGTGGAGGCCACAGCCGAGAACACTGCTCCTGGAGAAAAAGCATTTACGGAACATTTTGAAAAGAAACTTGGCGAATTTCGAAGCGCAAAACGCCTTGCTTTGCAGACATGGGCTGAGGAGAAGGGTGTCACGCTCCCGCCCGACTTTTTCGATCACCCTGCTTCTGCTGAAATGTTGAACACTGACTTTTTGGACACCTCGGCTACACAAAAAGAGCGAAGCCGACGGCAGCTGTATCTATTTCTCTATGTAAGCCTTTGTCTACTGGTGAGTCAATATTATTGAAGCTAACATTACCTCAGATGGAACAATTGCTGTACTCGACCGGTCAAACCGTACTCAACTTTGTCCGTTATGCCAACCATGTTGAGGCTAAAGGGAAGCTACTGAAGACTCGACTAGTCATCCCCGGTGGCAAGCGATTGTGGAAGTGGGCCAAGTCCTTTTTGAGTGCTCAGGATAATGAAGACGATAATATGGGTGACATTCACACACAAAACAACATTCTTCAGCTTGGCGAGGCGTACAAGCTGCGCAAAGACCCCGAGCATCTACCACCGACTACCCTTTTTGAGAGGATGGGAGACAAAATTCGTGTCTTCCCGGGGTTCCTGCGCTCGTTTGAGTCGACCTACGGCTTCCGCGTCGCCTGTGCCACCATGACTATTGCAATCATTGGGTTCCTACGCGATACACAAACCTTCTTCACTGCGCAAAGATTAGTGTGGGCCTTGATCATGATCAATCTCAGCATGTCTCCCACCTCAGGACAAAGCATTTTCAGTTTCGTGTTGCGGATTTTGGGTACATTCCTTGCAATGGTAGCAAGTCTTCTGATCTGGTATATTCCAGGTGAAAAGACACCGGGTATCATCGTTTTCCTATTTATTTTTGTGTCCATTGCCTTCTACATCCCCATCAAGATGTTCCGCTTCCGAGCTGTCGGGATTATCAGCATCATCACTACAAGCATGATCATCGGTTATGAGCTCCAAGTTCGCCGAGTCGGTGAGGCAGTCGCGACATCCAATGGACAGCCCTTCTACCCCATCTACCTCTTGGCACCTTATCGACTCGCTGTTGTGGCGGGCGGTATTGCTGTCGCATTCATTTGGACGTTCTTCCCATATCCAATTTCTGAGCATTCAGTCCTCCGTCAGAGTCTAGGAGCATCGTTGTATCTTCTCGCAAACTACTACTCCATTATTCACGAGACGATCTCCGGTCGCATGCGTGGTGACGAGGGTGAATACCTGCTCAAAACCTCTTCTGGTCGGAAACTTGAGAAAGCGCGACACAAAGTGTTCTCAAAGCAGATGCTTATGCTAGCCGGTTTACGGACATACTCTGGGTTCCTTCGATGGGAGGTTCCGGTTGGTGGTCGGTTTCCCAAGAAGCAGTATGATTCGATTATTGTCTGTGTAGAAAAGTATGTCATGTTCTCCCACATCCCTTCCAGGTACTAACAGTGCTTACCTTTCTAGCATCGTGAACTATCTCAGCTTGCTAGGCTACGCATCCGATACCCTTATGTCTATCGGTGACGGCGAAGACCCAGCGGATACCGTCTGGATGACCGATTTCCGACGGTTGATCAATACTGCCAAAGTGACGACTCATGAGGTCACATCTTTGCTCTGCCTTCTCTCTGCTAGCATTACGAACCGACAACCTTTGCCGCCGTATCTCAAAGCACCTCGTCCGTACAGCTTCACGAAGCGCCTGATGGAGCTTGACAGTGATATTCTAAGCCTCCGGCACATCGCTGAGCCAGGATTCGCGGCATTTGCAGTTTTACAGATCTCAACCCGCTGTATTGTCGGTGATATGGATAGATTACTCCGGTACGATTTTAATACCCCTTCCGTTGTTAGGCCTGGTCGGGTTTGCTAATAGTGCTCTTCATTCTAGGCTCGTGAAAGGCTTGGTTGGCGAATTAGACTTCTCTTTCCACGCTGTAACTACGGGGGAGTCAATGGCCGAGTCGCGAATGCCCTCTCGGGCAGGATCAAGAGCTGATTTGAGCGAGTACGCATCATCGCAAGCTGGTGATCGGCGCAAGCACGATTGATTTACTGTCTTTCTTTCTGGTTTGTTCACGGTTGCCATCTTTCGTGTACATATTTTGACGTGGACTGTACATAATGAGATGACTGGCATCATTCTATCGTTGGCTTCATCTGCGGAGAGTTGTACAAATTACTGTGGTTAATTTCGCCATCAACAATACCCCGCAATATACTTCTCCGCAATTGGTCTATTTTCATAACTTAGCAACCAACCCTCGGTCTCCTTACCTCAAAACTTCCATCCGTCCAGTGTAAACCAACCAAAATGACCGAAGTCAAAGTCGACCAAGCTCTGTTCTCCCAATCCGTTGGTAAAACAGTCCTAATAACCGGTGCAGCACGCGGGATCGGCGCCGCAACCGCGATCCTATTCAACTCCCACGGTGCCAATGTCGTTCTCGCGGATCTCCCCCAGCTACGACACAGTGCCGAGGAAGTTATTCAGAAGCAGATAAACTTCCCAACCCGCGCAATATTTGTTCCAGCCGATATCGTGGATTGGGCAGAGCTAACAGCATGCTTCGAAGCGGCGATTACCACTTTTGGCAAGGTCGACATCGTCGTAGCCAATGCAGGTATTATGGAATCCGAGTCCGTCTTAGACATGACCAACGTGGATGCGAACGGACGTCTTCTCGAGAGTCTGGAGGCTGGAAGGGTTATTGATGTGAATCTAAAAGGAACATTGAACAGTGAGTTTCTCCATCATCTTCAACATTTAATTTCGAGTTGAATCTCTATTTCATCTCGCTTCTATACTGACAACGTGCCTATGCATCTATACAAAGCAGCTCTCCGTTTGGGATTACACTATACGCAACGCTCCACATCAACAACTACAGATCCCCAATCAACAAAGTCTATATTACTAGTTGCATCCACATCGAGCTATTTCGGCGGGACCGGTGTAACAGCCTACATCGCATCAAAGCACGGCGTGCTGGGTCTCCTACGTGCGTGTCAGGATGTTGCACGCTCACACGGTGTCCGGGTTAACGCTGTCGCGCCGTTTTTGACGCCGACTCATATCACGGCGGGCTTTGCCCACATGTGGGACGAGGCGGGTCTTGAAAAGAATAGCCCCGATCGAGTTGCGGAGGCTATTGCGCTTGTGGCTTTGGATGAGAAGCGGGAGGGGAATTGTGTTTTGGTGAGATATATCTATTGCAAGGAGTACGGGGTTGATATGGTGCTAACTCTCTTTTGATTTGGATAGGTTGCTGGTAAGTATCTCCGAGAGCTTGAGGAGCTTAGGGCAATGCTCTTGTCTTCGTGGTTGGGGGTAGATTTTACGGACTTTATGCGTCAGGCTATGCAGTTTTTTGTCAGGATCGGGGGATATGTCTTGCCTAAGAAGTATTAGGATGTATCTATTTAGCTTTCAGTCTTTGTCTTCATTGTAAAATGCCCGAACGCTATAGAGACATTTTCCAATGCGTTTCACATTGTGGTAACAGTGTCCATATCCCTACCGATGGGCCGTCGGCCTAGGGTAAGGGCCATTGGGCTTCAGTGGGGGCCAAACATTCCGAAAAACGGGGATTCTTAAATTACCATGTTTAGGCCTCGTTTTTAGCCCTTATATTAGGGTAATATATAATTCTTCTAATCAATTGAAAATCATTTATTAGCTGGGCTTTTATATCACGTTTAGAAACGCGAGAAAACGCGTTATTCATATACTTAATATATTAGAGGTTCACCTATTCCTACACAAATTCTAAATTCCGAATTTAAATTCGATACTATTAGTAGCAGATTAGAATATAGCGATTACAAGACGCCGGTTTATAAGCGCTAAGACCCCCGCGAATGGGCTGTGGGTTGGGTTGGGCTTTGTGGAGATCTACCTGAGGGCAACATAGACATGCTGTTTTTCGCTCGCAAGGGGTGGGTGACAGGTACACTTTGGAAGAGTTTCTTCCCACGGCGCAACAATGTAGGAATGTAAGAGAAGGCCAGAGTAAAACCTCTACAAATACTAATAATCGCAAGTTTACCAACACCTACCAAATGTTGATGGAAAATGCCGGATAGTAAATTTCCACTGACTAGCAATTCAATACAAAGTACTTAAGACCTCAATTTCGACGAGTGTTGAGGTGAGGGTGATTCGTGGTACGGGGGCTATCGCTTTAGGCTTCCTTTATCTGGTATCCCGTACAGAGTATAGATAAATAGCTAGGGGGCGGCCCACAAAGTGTTGATTGAAAGGTAAATGCACTCGCCAGCCGGAACAACTCAGCGAATCACTTGTGACAGAGTTCCGGCTCTATTCCGCGACCCCTATCCGCCACTTTTATAAAGTTATCCCATTAATCCGTTGTGTTTTATAACTTCTGTAATTTCAACAAATGGGAATCTTAGGATAGCAAATGCGGGGCTCAATCAACGTCGTCCCAGATATATGCTTCTTGCTCCATTCAGACTTAAAAGAGAGAGCATTTAATCGCGGGCCTAATGGGACCCAGCTCTCACTCTTCTACTTCTCTACTGCTCCAATATCTTCAGTTCTAGGGGATATCTTGGCTTCAACCCAGCTTCCCGTAGTTTAACGCGGCAAGCAACTACCATGATCCAGGAAACGGTAGCATTTTTAAAGGACCACTGGGTCTTGGTGCTTCTCTCGACTGTTACCACGCACCTTGTCTACAATTACGCCAGGAAGGGGCTTTGGAGAATACCAGGCCCATGGTTTAGAGGAATTTCTTCCCTTCCCCGTATCCTCTCGGTTTATAACAACAAGTCCCACGATGAAGACATTCAGCTGCATCAAAAATACGGCAATATCGTACGCCTAGCCCCAAATCTACTCTCTATCGCCGATCCCGTCGAGATCAACCAAATATACGGCATTGGGACCAAGTTTTATAAATCTGGGTTCTATAACCTCTCTTCAGCATACGATGATGAGGGCTTGGTTCCGGACACGTTTGTCCTGACTGACAAAGTAAATCTCCATCGCGTGGACCTGATAACTCATACTAACTGATAAGACTCTACACACGAGAATGAAAAGGAACGCATCTAATGCGTACTCGACAAACGGATTAGTGCAGATGGAGTCATGGATCGACCCAGTGACCGAGCGACTGCTAGGGAAATTGCATCGCCAAGCAGGGGAGCCCATCGAGATCTCAAGCATATTAAAAGACTATGCCATGGATGCCGTCTTTGCGGTCACGTTTGGGAGAGACTTCAACTACATTGAAAACGGCGATGTCCTGAAGATGTACGGCATTTTGGAAACTGTCGCAGACTACATGGCAATCGTAAGCCCCGGTCTTCTTTGCAACTATTCCTCCTTAAGGTGCACGGTTCTAACCTAATCTGCAACAGTTTGGACAAATCCCCTGGATCCATAAATTTCTTCTGGGTCGGCCATTTATAGCCTCGCTCATGTTTGGTAGTGGCGGCGGCGATAAGGAAATGATGCAGCTCGCTGTGTCCCAGGTCGAGTCCGCTAAGCAGAATCCATCCGAGGGCGGCCCTTTGACCTTTCTTCAGCGATTGCTCCTAAATCAGGCCAAGGATCCATCATCTATCAACGATCGAGAGATCATGACCCATGCATTTGGAAACATTTCCGCTGGGAGCGATACTACTGCCATTGCGTTACGTTCCATCCTGTATCATATCTTAAAGGACCGCCGGGTTTATGATAAACTCTACGACGAATTTCGTGCTCTGGAGGCTCCCGTTCAATTTGCCGACGCTAACAAGTTGCCGTATTTTGCCGCTGTCATTCAAGAGGCGCTCCGGTTACATCCTTCAGTCGGCATGATGCTTGCCCGCATAGTCCCCGCTGGAGGTGCAGATTTGTGCGGGTTCCATCTCGCCGAAGGCACGGAAGTTGGCATCAACCCGTGGGTGTTGCATCGCAACCCGGAAGTGTTTCCTAACCCTGACAGCTTTCGCCCTGAACGGTGGCTGCCATCGGAGACGGATGAGATCCAGCGTACGCTTATGAACAGGTCGTTTTTCGCCTTTGGTCATGGCGCACACACCTGCAGCGGGCGTTGGATTAGCTTGATGGAGATGAAAAAGGTGATTCCGTCTTTAATGCTGAGATTTGAGATGACGTTGGTAAGTGAGGAGAATTATGGGTTTAAGAATCGTTGGTTCACGCCGCAGCATGGTCTACATGTACAGTTTATTGAAAGGACGCGATAGATAGTTCATCCGAAAAGAATCCAAGTTGTATATTCATTCGACGAGCCAAGACAGGCATGGGAATCTCACCTCCACCACGGAAGAAAGGCCGGAGTAGACATTGATTATAAAAATCCTGTTCATGTAAAATCATGTACTGAAGAAGAGTTTGATATTATTTCTGAAATTACTACACGAACACTTTTTTCTTTTTCTTTTTGGAAATTCTTCGCCGAAGGTATCAGGACAGAAAAGAAGACACTTTAGATCGCAGCGCTACGGCCGGGATAATCTCTTTCTAATGTGACTAGGCCTATCTGAACAAGACAAGAAACAGGAACCGCTTTAAAGCTGTCAATGGTTCTGGTCAAGTTCTAAATCATCCAAGCCATATGCTAACCCTGCAAAGCTTCCATTAAACTGGATAGAAAAATCAACCAAGCCTTTCGGGATACTATGAATTAGATCCCCAATAATCCGCAACTCCGGTCGAAGGTGCGCAGGTTTAGAGAGCCGCACTCGAAGGCCCTTGACAGATCCATCGACTGTGACAGCGCATGTTCTTCTTTCCGTCCGGCTATGGAGTCTGCTAATCCCACCCGGTGTGAGGTGTGTGGCTTTCGAATCTTCCTTGAGACAGGTAGCACAGATGAACGAATTGTCAGATGGCAAGATTTCTAGCCCAATACACTTTTGGTGTTGCCATGTATGACATCTAATACAGCGTACACCCAAATTCTCTAATCCAGTTCGATCGCCGCAACATGGTATAGAAAGGTTCAGCCTTTGCACGGAAACATGCTTGAACTGAGGCACTGAATCGTAATACAATCGTTCAACTTTGAAGGAAGCTTGTGCAAACGACACTGCATCTCTTGGCTCCGAGTGATGGAGAATCTCTGATAAAATCTCTGGCGGCATAGAAGAAGGCCGCTTCTCTCTATGAACGCAGGTCTCTTTCCAGCAGTCAGTAGACAGAACCTGGGCTAATACCCGGAAGCCCGGGGTGCATTGTGATGCCGAGCGGTCGGCCAGCAGCGGGAGAACTTGACTACACGCAACGGTGTGCTGGAATAATTCAACAAAAGCGATATGGCCCGGTGAGATAAGAATGGAGCGAACTTTGCGAGTTGTGCGAGCAGAACTGCTGATAAACGCTTTGGCTCTGGTGATGGCCGTGCGAAGCATAGATTGCGACTCAAGATTCGGTTGCAGCATAATGAGGAATCCATGAAACCAATACAGTTCTTCTTCAGGAAACTTCCAGCCAGGAATCGAACTATGATTGATAGGCAGCGGTGGGTCGCAATCGTAAGATACCTCAAAATCCCATGAAGCGAGACATAGGATAGCTCTGGCAAATGCATTGAATACGCGGCTTCCATAACGCCAGGTCATAGGGTCGCCAATCCAGGAGCGCCATAGAAAGACGAAGTCCAAGAAGAATTGTTGTTGGAGCTCAAAAATAGCTGTAGGAAAACAAGTCTGAATATTCAATGGTTCGAGGCTGGCCGAGTTGGATTCTGGGTCCTGATCCTTTCCGGAATTAGGAATTGAGAGAAGAGGCGATGGTCGCAAAGAATTGACGGAAATACTGGAGGTTTCACATATATCGGCAAGACTAGCTTCAAGTGCTAGGGGCATCAGAATGCGATCAACACATGACCACGTTGAAAGAATAAAGGTGCCGGCATCCCGATCGATGGTATAAACAAAATCGAAGTATGCATCTAGCGGGCTTGGAAAGGAAACTCTCTCCCACTGCTCAAGATTGATGGTCTTGTCATGTATCTGCTTGACTCTGCGTAGTGTCTCGGCTGCTTCTGGTGGGCTCACTCGAATCCGTGGATGGCGGAGGCGATACCAACAGTCTGATTGAATCCATAAGCATGTCGAGATAAATAATCAAGCATTTTACCCACCGTCCACCTGTAAGTTCCACAATCCCCTAGTTCCCATTTCGGGAGATTCGGCAGGATGTCTCCCAGGGAGACAATGCACAGAAGAAATGAAATTGCTAGCTAGAGGTTTGGAGGAATCTGATTCTAGAAGCTACAAACACGAGTGTATCTTTCTTTGGAGAAGAGGGAGTTCCGTTTCCAGCGGTGAGTAGTCTACGAGACAAGCGTGGAAGTAGGTACTGTCAGCCGTGGGGATTATACACGCGACGTCAAAACGTGAGCGTGACGTGTAAAAAGGCATCACTTCTCTGCGCATTACTATTAAAATCACTATTGAATTATTAGGTCCTTTTTCAGATGTCGAAATCTACACCTTAACACAAAAATTGGAGTTTCGAAAATATTAGCTAGCTATTTCTTAAGAATATAAGCATACTACAAGTACCAAACAAGGAGCCGACAATCAATTCATAATTCTGCAATCTTCCAATATTCTTCTTCAAATTCGAACCCCCATAATGGCTCCCCAACTACGGAGTCGCATGGATCGGAGTAAAATATAGGGAATATGGGTGATAGTCGCGTGACTGGGGGTGATTCGTACCCTGATTCTCGCCCTATCTATACTACCTCCCTCCCACCCTCCAATCCTTTTGCACCTTATAACTCTTGCTCACACATAACATGATACATACGACCATAGGGTGTGGAAAACAGGGCTTCCCGTCCGCTCAGCCGTACTTAAGCCACACGCCGGTGAGTTAGTAGTTGGGTGGGTGACCACCAGCGAATCCTCACTGTTGTATGTTTTTAGTTGTGTTCTTTTTTGATTCGTTAGGAAATCCCCTCTTGCCGCCCTACTCTTTCTTCAGTCCCTTCAGCCTATTCACCTGAATGCCCTCATCGCCAGGCATATGGTACACCCGTTCCACTAGTGCTGCTTAGACCGTACAGCTTTAACTGGAACAATCGATATCCACTTGGTTCGGAAAATTATGCCACCGCTATCCGAAAATATACACCTGAAATGCCAAGCAAACGTAAACGTGGAGCACAGCTATTGGCCTAAGCTACAAGAGGCCTCGCCCTGCACCTGGAGGTCGATCTACTCCGTAGCCCCGCGTGAGATAGGTTTGAACTGACGTAACTCGAGGTATTTTTCAAATTGTCAAAAACCTGGGACATTACTATGATTCATGATGGACCCCTTATCTGCTCTTAGTCTTGCAACCTCGGTTATACAATTTGTCGACTTCGCGACGAAACTCATCTCCAAGGGCAAAGAGCTGTATCGGAGCACCGACGGCGTTCTGGCAGACCATGCCGAGAAGGCTGCCATCTCCTCAAAACTAAGTACTTTATCTAACGGGCTCCTATCCTCTCTAGATGGAATTTCAGCAACCCAAGGATTATCTGCCGCCCAGGAAGGCCTTCGAGATATTGCTAAGGAGAGTTCTGTGGTTGCGGAAGATTTCCTAGTGACGCTGGATGAGCTGAAGGTGGTGACGCCAGGGCGAAAATGGACGAGCTTCCGCCAGGCGCTAAAGACTGTGTGGAATAAGGATAAGCTTGAGGAAAGGATGACCACCCTGGATCGTCTTGGCCAGGTCGTCATCATACATCTGCTGTTGATCCTTAAGTATGAGTTACCCCTTCTCAGTTAATTTTAAGAAATCGGGCTTATCTGCTTCTAGTGAGGACCAGATAAAGTCTCTTGCTACAACAACCAATGAGATTCGAAGCATGGAAGGCAGGGTTCGAGACACCCTTTCCGAGTATAGAAATGAAGTAAAACAAGAGCTTGGACAGCTGCTGCAACAATTAAATAGCCTGGCCAACCAAGCGCGAACCCAATCGACTTCTGAGGACGATCGGAAGAGAGATATTGTTCGCGAGAGCCTCCTGAATGAATGGAGAAATGAGAACGACGAGGTTCTCGCGAAAATACTTCAGACTCTCCAACAAAAAGCTGACTATCAGAACCGAAGATCGTTCAAACGGATGTTTTTCGACACTTTATATTTCTCGAGAATGCGTGACCGGGAAAACATGATAGACAGCAAATATGATCTCACCCTTGGCTGGGTCTTTCGCACACCTACAGACATGGGATCCATGTGGTTTGACCTACCCAGTTGGCTCTGTGAACCTGGTGGTTTGTACTGGGTATCAGGCAAGGCCGGATCCGGGAAGTCTACCTTCATGAAGTGGCTCCTCCATGAGCCGCGGACTAGGGAGGCTCTTGACGTATGGGCCGGGGACAAGCAACTTCTAATAACATCCCACTTCATTTGGAGTTCTGGTACCGAGGAACAGAAATCAGTCTCTGGGATGCTGCGCTGTCTGTTATATGAATTGTTGATACAATGGCCAGATCCAATTTGGGAGCTCTCACCCTCCAGGTGGCGCTCCTGGGATCTTGAACTCGGGCATTTCCCGGCATGGTCTGACGATGAATTGATCCACACTTTACAATCTCTCCTCAGGCGCTCGGCTCACCATCACCGAATATGTTTGTTCATCGATGGGTTGGATGAACTTGCTGGAGACGACGATCGGCTTGAGAAGGTGTTCCACCTCTTACAAGAGTCATCTCAATATTCACATATCAAAATCTGTGTTTCTAGCCGGCCCTGGGAGTTACTCAAAAATAATTTCTCTTCATATCCGCATCTGCGGCTGGAGGATTTAACGTACTCTGACATTGAACTCTATATCAACACCAGACTCCAAGCAAACGAAAGATTCCGAGCCCTCCAGCAACAAGATCCTAGAATCTGTTTGCAACTGGTCTGTGAAATGATCGAGAAAGCAAAAGGTGTCTGGCTTTGGGTTATCCTAGTTAGTCGCTCACTCTTGCGAGGGTTGACGAACCATGATACAGCAACAGATTTACTCGACCGGTTAAGGGGGGTACCGGAGGAACTGGAAGCATATTTCCTCCAGATGTTCGCCAAAATCGAGTCATTTTATCGAGTCAAGTCCCTCAAGCTTCTCACCCTGGCTTTGTACAGTCCTGGTGGAGTTTCATTGATGACATGTTCCTTCCTGGACGAAGATCACACAGCATTTCTTTTACAAACAGCGACGCAGCCTTTTAGCGAGGAGGAGGTGATCCAACGGCTACAGAGGGCAAAGAGCCGTGTTAATATATTTTGCTTGGATTTACTCGAGACCACTGACTGGGGATCCGGAAGACACGTTTTCTACCGTCAGAGTGTTGAATTTATGCATCGGACAGCGCGGGATTTCCTTCTCGAAAATACCACCCAGCATCTTTTGCAGATGCATAACATGAAAGATTTTAACGTCAATCTTTTCACCTGCAGAGCGCTGCTAGCTCAAATGCAAATGCTAGAACAACCAACGCGGCTGCTCGTGGCTGATTTTATGAAGCATGCAGCACTGCTGGAGAAGGAGTCTCCAGAGGCACTTCTCCCTCTGACAGCTCATCTGGATAAACTACTTGACAGCCAGCGGAATAAACCGTGGTCGAGTGAGTCACTACCAGCCTGTCCAGTGAAGGGGTGGGATTGCAATACCCAAGGTTCGAAACCCCTGCTTTCTCTAGCCATCCAGCACGGACTCACAGGATACGTCCAAACCTGCCTAACCTCCAACCCGAACCTCGTTTTCAAGCAGCAAGGCCGGCCACTCCTAGACTATGCACTCCGCCGGAGAATACATTCACCGTTGGACGGGCAAGCCGAACAGCTCGATTATCCAGTCGGTGGCCCCCGCGACCAACCAAACCCTCGGCTTATCCTTCTGATCCTCCAGCAAGGCGGCAACCCTAATGAACGGCTCGGCAGCTCTACCCCCTGGAAACTTTACCTTGGATACCTCAGCACCTTTGCAAAAGAACTCAATCAGCTCGACAAAAGTAGCCTACAACCGTGGATACAAACAACAGAACTGCTCATCCAATATGGAGCTGCCCGGGTTCTAGAACGCCACACGGTTATACCACAGCAATCAATGGGGCGCACACGAGTGAAACTTTCTTACCGAGATATAACTGCCTGGGATAGTTTAGCTGCGGCTTTTGGAGCGACAGAGGCTGAAAGACTATATTCACTATCCTGGAAATTAGATGCTACAGGGCAATCTATGTTGTGGAACTCAGTTCGAACTATACGCAACTTTATGCGATGGGTTGGGTGAACTACTCTAGAAAACATATGTGTGAGAATGAATTCTAGATCATAGCCACGCGCCTCATACTTTCCTTTTGTATTGGTGAGATTAGTCTTCCGCACGACTTTGTAAAACCCAGATCCAACCATACCCAACCTAGTCTAGGTTGGGTGCTGGGCCGAGACCTTCGATCCAAAATGTCTCGTGCGGAATCCTACGTAAGATAGGCACTGAGGGCAGTTTTAGTATCTTGGGCGCGCTGGTAGGGTTTAGTTTGTGTACTAATAGAGACTTAGCAGAGTACCTAGGTAGGACTATGTGATCACATACCCCAATATGTATTCCTCTTATAACCCAATCGAGAAAAGCCCTATATATTATATATTCTGTTAACCAGCTGAACAATGGTCTATAAATATAATTTAACAAATCTAGGGATAAAAGTATGGTTTAGCGATTTACTTCTCTACCCCTAGGGCTAAAAATTACCCGTCGAGAATAAGTAACTTATAATTATAACTAGATTCCAGTCATTCGTGGTAGAATTACCCGCTAGATTTGATTATTGCTATACTCTATTGGCTATGTAATTTAATGTTAATCTATGCCTAGTACGTACCTTGCTTGTGATAAAACCAGGCTAGAGAGATGAAAGCGGAGGAAAGAATAAGGTAACTCACAGCCTTTTCGATCACAATGGGCAAATGTACCTTTTGCTATATGACCTGAATACTCAGGTAAAGAATATTTAGGTGGGTGAATATCCGCCCGGAGTTCCCTAAGGAGGTCTGAATAGAGCGGCGAGCCGCCTATGCCCGAACCGTGGGCGCTAGGTGACCATGACCTTGGACTCGCTGTTGTAAGTTTTTTTATTTTTGCTTCGGAATCATACTAGCTCATCCACTTTCTTCTATCACGTTTCTATCTCAATTTTTAATACAACTTGAAGATACCACCACAAGATGAGTGACATGAAGTTCACGCCCAAAACTCCTTACATCATGCACGGAATGCTCGATGTACCTACATCACGAGAGCCAACAAGGGGTGTGGACACTGGAATGTCAACGGGGGTCAGGCCCTGGCACCCTTTAACCCATCATTCCCAGGGGTCTGGCTCTAATATTCCCCGCGATAAAAGGTTTAAATAAGAATATCCAACTCCGGACCAATAGCAATGCAGTTACTATTATCCCTTCTTTTGTGGAATCTGCCTAAACGTCTCCTTTGCAGGTTTCCCGAGGACGAAGGGGCGGAGGGGGAACTCCTATTACACAGCTCTTCCATCCCACGTTGATGTGGGTAACCTTGTAGTGCTAGCTATGATATTTCTTCCGAGAATCGCTACTCAGTTTCGATCGATGCCGTAGTCGACCTTAGATACAACAATATCCCGATTCCCGTGACGAACGACAACCTAACGACAAGTATATAATATCTTGAGAAGGCTTTAGACGGCGAGGATCAACACAAATGAGACGCCATTCAATAGCCGAAGAAATTTACGATAATGAGTCTAAAATCAACTTCGGCGTACCGGACAGCGTCCGAAGCGTGGACGATGTGACACACAACCCAGCACTCGGGAGCTCAATTCAACTATTCGAGAGCGACCCCTCAACCGAAGAACAACAAAGACGGATCGAAGTGCGAGAATGGCTGGTCTTTATCTGTATCGTCATTCTGGCAATGATGGATTCGTTCAATGCGACCATTTTGATCCCAGCCTTACCCGTATGCCACATGCAACATCCCAAGTGTTATTTTATATCTATAACAGAGCTGACCAGAGACTCGATCTAGGACCTGGCAAACACATTCGCAAAGCCACTAGCAAGCACATTCTGGGTCAACACGATATACCTCCTTTTCGGCGCAAGCAGCCAACTTTACTTTACAATGATGAGCGAAGTCTTCAACCACGGACCCGTCTGGATTATCGCCGTGGTCCTCGCGACAATCGGCACAGGAATCTGCTGCGGCTCCATGAGTCTGGCGGAACTCATAATCGGCCGCATGATTCAGGGAATCGGCGGCGGCGGTGCGATGAGTCTTTGCTTCGTGATAATGACCGATACGGCGCCTGAAGTTATGCAGTCACGGTATTCATGCTATATCCTGCTGACGCGGATGTGTGGTAGCATCCTGGGGCCCGTCATCGGAGGCTTGTTTGTCGATAATGCTGACTGGAGATGGGTGTTTTATTTGAACTTTATTTTCTGCGCGCTTGGATTGCTGGCGATTCCATTTGCTGTGGATCTGCGCGCGTTGAAATATATCCCGATGCACAAATTGCGCGTTTTGGATTGGACAGGTACGACTTTAGCTTTTTTGGGCCTTGCAGCTATTCTGGTTGGTCTATCTTGTGGTGGGAGCTCGTATCGCTGGGGGGATTGGCAGACTATTGTTCCCCTTGCGGTAGGTACTGTGATTATTGTTGCACTTCTCTTTTACGAGTCCAAGTGGGCTGCGCATCCGCAGTTTGGGAGGAGGGTATTTCGGTCGAGGATGATGGCTATGACACATCTAGGGTGCTTTTTGCATGGCTTTGTGGTTAGTAGATATTTTCTCTTCGCATTTGGTTTGCGTTGTCTGACATACCAGTCTAGGTCTTTGCTCACTTGCAATTCTTCCCGTTATATTTCATTTCAACCCATTATATGTCCGCCACTTTGTCAGGAATCACCGTGCTAGCCATGGTTGGGCTTGCGATTGCACCAGCAACTGTTGTTGGTGTTATTCTCGCGAGAGAGTTAAGATGTACCCAGTGGATCATCTCTGGTGGTTGGGTTTTGACTGCCCTTGCGAGTGGATGCTCCATCCTCTTGGATAACTCCACGCCGACCGTAGCGTGGGTATTTTTGTTGTTCACAACAGGCCTCGGACATGGTCTATTGCTTTCGAGTTACAATGTTCGCATTCAGAATCTGCCCAAAGATGGGGATGGCTCTCTCTCGACTCTGCCAACAACCATGTCATACTACATGCGAGGTTGGGGTATGGCAGTTGCAGTCCCTGTCGGCGGAGTTGTGTTGTTGAATTGCTTCGGCAATGGACTTGCAAGAGTTGGACTGGGTCGAGACATAGTAAGCTCTACCAACGGATATCTCATTCTGATGAAGGATGTGAGCATGACAATGAATCAGAGAGAGACTATCACAGTTGTTTCTGTCGCGGCATTTCAAGGGGTTTGGGATCTCGTCACGGGTGTTGCTATCCTTGGGGGAGTTTCATCTGGTTTCCTGTGGCAAAAAAAATGAATGTTAATATTAAACGTGTCAGAATTCAAGGGCATTGGCGATTACTATGTTTGTCTTCAAGGTGCACGGTCAAATAGCCTGATATAGTATAAGGTCCTGACTAGCATTGCAAGGGTAAGAAGCTAAAGCATCTATTGAACTCTGGTAAGAATAACTCGGATTTCAGGCTAAAGGCTAATTTGACATAAGAATGAAAGTCGTTGTCTCGGCTAAGGTAATGGTCGTGGCAATCAGGCTGACATTGTCCCGTGATGTTCGCTAGTCTTTCTAGCTCTCACTCGATCCGCTTGTATCCTTCAGCCTCTCCGGAACAACAAACTCTCGCCTCCCCTTGATTTTCCAGCCGGACAGTCTGTCTTTGCCAAGCATCTCTAGCGTCTTCTTCTCAACGAGACTGTATTTGGATGGATCATCCCTGTCAAACTTGAAGGGCTGCTTCAACGCCACTGGTGGATTGGTGATAACTCGTGGATGTCTCAAGCTGTTGACAGAAATCGAGTGACACATCAGAGGATGGAGAAGAACCACATCGCCCACTTTCCCAGTCATCTGGTGGAAATCGTTGCAATTCTTAACAATATCCGAGTAAAACGGAGTCTCCGTGGGATCCCCAACGGGCTCTTGGCCACGGGGATACATATATGGTGTCACCCCCTCAGGATGCTTGTACTAGAAACATGAGTCAGAAAGACGTAAAAGTGGAACAAGAGGCTCAACCTACCAGATGTTGGGCAACATATTTCATCGCCTCAGGGCAGACCATAGTGCCACCTGCACGATCTTGGATATCGGTAAACAGGGGTATAACGAGCAGGGCCTGCTCAGGCGAATCAAGAAAATGGGTAAAGAAATCGCCATCAACATGCCACCCGGGCAGATCAGCAGGATGGGGCCATGTACCCTCGGACTCGGGTGAGCCGAGATTGACGATCAATGCGTCGTTCCAAGTAGCCGATTCCGGGGCTACACGGTCTTCGCCCCCGAGAAGCTCGCAGATGGCTGCCCAGGCCTTAGGGGAGAAGGTACTGACCGCCTCTTCCTTGGTGTCTCCCATGTGGGTAATTTCGGTTGTCCATGTTGACTTGTTCGTTGGTGATACACCAAGTCTAGTCCACACATCGCCTGCCCATTCGGCTGCTTTTTCCCGAGAGAAACAGTCTGGTAGACGCACGTACCCATATTTCATGAAGTGATCAATTTGCTCTTGTGAGAGCTTGTATTTGAGTTTGGCTGGCATTGTGTCGGGGTCCTCCTAAGTGGGGTTACAGGATGAGCCCACATTTTAAGAATGAGAGTCATGGAATCGTGCACTGGTGGCAGTCACTTACTTGGGGAAGGAAGGTAGCTGTTATGTGACCAGGTCCCTTATTCTGCGGGCAATTTGGATCCGACCAATGGGAGGCTGTTCTTTCCCGCTTTAACTGGAGGCGGTTATCAGCACTTGACTAAAAGAAGGAAGCGGTGAATTCGAGTATACACGTTCTCCTATTATTTGGATATTTGTATTTCCCTTCTCCAAAAGATGGCGTTTGCTTGGAGCCGAATAAGATTTCTTGTGTCATTAACAGCCTAATAAATGGCGTTGGCCAAGATGTGAATTCCGGCTAAACAGTCAAGTCTGGCCTAGTGGATGTCCCCCGCAAATGAAGATTTTCTCCCCAACTCCCCCCCGGGTTTCTTGGCATCACCACTCATACCACCCCATTTCATTTGCCTTCAGGTGGCGTCCAGGCTAAGATGGTTACTGAATTCGGCACGGGGCGTGTTATTTGGAGCCCGAACCTCTTTGGAATACAGAAACCCCTAACACGACTCACCCAAAACCTTGAACAGGAACAGACCCAAATGCTAAAACAGGTGACCTAGGCTTATACCTCAAATAAACACGGAGGAATGTCACTTATATGCTCTTTTCCTTCTCCAGTTTTATCCATTTGTGGGCCTCGGGCCGTCCAATCCACACGATTGTGGGGAAGAACAGCATTCGTCTCGTATCGGAGAAAGAATTCTAAACACACGGCACATACCCAAGTAAGGCGGGCTAATTGCGACCATGTGACTCGGCTGTTGTAGCCCATTTGACTACACCAATCACGACTCTGCCTGAAAGTTTGGAAGCCATGGGTTTAGCCTGGGCCTGATACCTCGTGGCCCTAAAACCCGGAGCTGGGACCTTTTTGCCCTACTAGCATCCCCTTTAAGGCAAGGCTGGTCTGACATTCCACCAATCCAGCTAGTCTGCGCATAAATAGGCATTTCTAGTGCCGGCGCTGCACGAAACCTGTCCTAGCGTCTCTGTAAATACTCGAATTCTTTATTTCTATTTTCCCCAATATGTGTTTCGATCGCGAAAACTGGGGAGAGCTGTCGACGCGAGCAAATCAGCCAAGACATCAAATCTCATTCACCGGTTAATATCGCAGCTTATTATCCCAGGATGGCAAATTTCAATTGCTTAAAAACTCCAGGGGAGCCCTCCTACCTCCACATTCCTTTGCTTTGTTGTGCTACAAGTTTGGTGGACATCTCAACTTTCTACCTAGATCCTTCATACATTGCGTTCATCTAAGCAGATTATCCAGGCAACATGGGTATTGCTGTGGGAGCTTCGACTCTACAGTCCGATTTGGACGCGACTCAAGCTGCAAAGCCTGAGTTGGAGAAGGTTAACTGGTGGCAAGACCCTGGTCTGCGCAAGCTCTATTGCTGGGCTGCTGTGCTTTGTGTCGCTTCTGCTACTACTGGATACGATGGGTATGGATCATAGCTCTGTGGTTAAATGCGGATAAAGCTGACGGAGCCTCGCGCAGAATGATGCTTAACACCTCGCAAAATTTGGATGCGTGGCAGGTGTACTTCGACGCACCCAGTGGCGGTAAGCTGGGATTGATGAATGCGATTTACCAGATTGGTAGTCTTGCCAGTTTCCCTTTTGTGTAAGTTATCCTGCACTAAATACCATGGAAGCTAGCTGACTTGAATAGGCCCTTCATCGCTGATCGATGGGGTCGCAAGATTCCCATCATGATCGGATGTGTCTTGATGATTCTCGGTGGCTTGCTCGGTGCATTCTGCACAAACTATGGAAGTAAGATTAACCATTTCATATCCTCCCGACGAGGTCTAATTATTATATTTACTAATTATATTTAGTGTATGTCGCCGGTCGATTTCTCCTCGGCTTCGGCAACAGTCTGGCCCAGATGGCATCCCCAGTCCTACTGACTGAAATCTGCCATCCCCAACACCGCGGAAAGGTCACTACTATTTATAATTGCTTGTGGAATTTGGGCGCACTAGGTACGCATCTTTCTAGTCACTCTCCGGATGCCGGTGTGCTGACTGAGTCTAGTTGTCGCATGGATCGCATGGGGAACAATGTATATCCCCAACGATTGGTCATGGCGCAGTCTGACTATCCTCCAAGTCTTCCCCGCTGTCATTCAGATCGTCTTCATTTGGTGTAAGTTCCCATTTTATCTCTCTTACTGGATTAGTTCTAGGTAGCTGATCATTATTAGGGGTCCCCGAATCTCCCCGTTGGCTCGTCTCCAAGGAGCGGTACGAGGAAGCATTGGACACACTCGCCTACTACCACGGAAATGGAGATAAGAACAACGCCACCGTTCAATTCGAGTACCGTGAGATCAAGGAGACTATCAGCTTGGAGATGCGGTTCCAGAAGAACAGCAGCTACTTGGACTTCATGAAGACCAAGGGTAACCGTTACCGTTTGGCACTTTTGGTTTCTCTGGGAATCATTTCGCAGTACAGTGGAAATGCCTTGTTCAGCAACTACACCAATTTGATCTACAACAGCATGGGTATCACCGAGCAAACCAAGAAGATTCCCGTTCGTGTCCCCCGACCTCCGTCAAAGGACCACTCGCTAACATTACATAGCTCAATGGTGGACAAACCCTACTCAGTCTAGTTGTCAGTATTTCAAGTGCATTCTTCGTTGACCGAGTCGGACGACGACCTCTTTTCCTGGTTTCCACGGTTGGTACGTGCTAGCATCCTCCGCAAAAAGGTGTCAATTTGCTGACTTTCTCTCAGGTATGGTTCTCATGTTCCTCGCATGGACTGTTGTTTCCTCCGTCTTCGAAAGAACCCAGGATGTCAACACTACCGGCTACCCTCAAGTCGTGTTCGTCTGGCTCTTCTCTGTGTTCTACGCCATTGCCTGGTCGGGTCTGCTCGTCGCCTACTCGCTCGAGATCTTACCCTACCGCCTGCGCGCCAAGGGTGTTATGATTATGAACTTGACGGTGCAGGCATCTCTGGTTCTTGGAAAGTAAGTTTTCAATACATGTACCCACTCTTTGAACCAAACTAAACATTCTAGTTACACCAACCCCATTGCATGGGAGAACCTTCCTCACCACTGGAACCTGTCGCTGATCTACACTATTTGGATCTTCATCGAGCTTTGCTTCGTCTATTTCTTCTACGTTGAGACCCGGGGTCCCACCCTCGAGGAGCTGGCTAAGATCTTCGATGGTGATGATGCCCAGGTAGCGCATGTTGATCTCCAGCAGGTTGAGAAGGAGATTCAAATCACGGAGAAGGAGTCGCCTGATCATAAGGAACATGCTTGATTGTGTCGTTGTGAAAAGATATCCATGGGGCATAGTTTGGTGCCGATTGTTGCCAGACAATAATATGTTTGCTTATTACTTACGAATTAATCTGATAACGCTTTTCTGAATATCCGTTGATTCCTGCAGACGAGATGGGTGTACATGGTACGGCAGATTATAACGTAACGCTGATCTATTTGGCATAGAATGATCTTTCGTACCTATTTAGAAAGCAGACAGAAAATACCCTTTAGAAAGAGTGTTTTCATTTATTTATTTGTAGACCACAACATGAATGATATTCGGGCTCTTCTCTTCCTATCCAATGTATACCACTGAGAACTACCACCATGTTCTTTGAATTCGTTTCTCTTATATCGCGCGCTATTGCCCAATATTTTTCTAGTGACAGACAACTTATCCATACATATTAGTATATGTCAATGATGAATATGGTGATTCTAGTTCATGCCTAGGATACATTGAACGTACTTGGCCCGCAGCGCAATGGACGGGGTCTACCCAGTGTAGATTGATTTGGTCTGACTTGAAAGAGCAACGAGCTGTATGTATAAATACACGTAATGTGTAAACACGTAGAGCGCCTTCCCTGGCTGTTCCTTCCTTTGCCACTCGCCTCAACTTCTCTCGACTTCCCCCTAACTTCGTAAGTTTGTAACTTCATCTTCCACTCTTTCAGACATAATCCACTCTGTTATCATACACCATCAATACCAGCGTCTCTCATTCAAAATACTCTTCTTAAAATCAATATGCGCTTTCACATTGCCGTCCTTCTGGGCGTGGTCTACTTGGCTTTTGCCGCTCCGTTTCCGAATGTGTCGACTCACCCTCTTCCGGATGGAATGCCTAATCCAAGCCCCAGTGAACTGGAAACGATTGAGTTGAATGCCCACGGAACTTTACCAAATGGACCTCCTCCTGTTGGTATCAGCGAAGGAGGGATCATCAACCTCAAGCTTGTCGCATTCAACGAACTCTTTGAAGTTGCCTTTTTCCACCAACTGATCACAAACATCACCGACAAGGTCTTGGGCTATCGCTTCACTGATGAAGAGGATTACGACTTTGTTTTGAAAGGCTTGAAGGTGATCCTGGCTGTATGAGATGACATTCCCATGAATATCGCTTAGTGATATTTACTAATTTGGCACAGCAAGAGGAGCTCCATGCCCTGGACGCCAACAACGCGTTGGCTTATGTTGGCGTTGACCCCATCGAGCCTTGCCAGTATACCTTCCCCGTCGATGACTTCGACTCGGCCCTTGTCCTCGCCACCACCTTCACTGACGTGGTTTTGGGTACTCTGCAGGACGTTGCGGAGAGATTTGCGCTCGGCGGTGACTTCGCTCTGACACGTGAGGTTTCCTCCATTATCGGCCAGGAGGGAGAACAGCAGGGATGGTTCCGCGTCATGCAGGGCAAGGTCCCTAGCGAACTGCCTTTCTTGACGACCAGTGATCTCAACTTTGCTTTCACTGCCATTCAGAGCTTCGTTGTGCCTGGCACTTGCCCCAATATTGACTCCATTCCGCTTAAAACTTTTGCAACTCTCAACGTCATCACAGCCCCGACTGCGAAGACCAAAAACATCAAGGTTTCCTTCGAAGTTCGCGACAAGGTTGATCGAGACGCGCTGTGGCTCACCTATATCAATCAGCAAAATCTGCCGATTGTGGAACCTCTCCGAGTTGTCTCGAAGGATAACAAAACGATTACTGCAGAGGCTTTGTTCCCCTATGAGGCGCATCAAATGAACGGGTTGACCATCGCTGCGGTGACCACAACCGAGGGGCCATTCCCAAATGCATACAGTGTGGCGAATGCAACTCTCGCTGGACCTGGCCTCTTTATCTTCAACTGATTCAACCATATCCTCAACGGCCTTTGGCAAATTACTCGCGACATACGCACATCATTATTATTAGCAGCACTATGACTTGAGCACAAGTTGTACATCTCGTCAACTCGAAATAATTCTAGTCTTACTGCTCTCTCTTGTCAATAAATCAAGCTCATGATTTCCTAAACAATAACGCTAGTAGATCACATAGGTAATGTATTATTTAAATGACAGACTATAATTACAACTCTCACCCACCAGAATCACCCCCTTGCTCTGGAGTCACCTCACCCTCTCCCCTTCCTAGGATTACATCACACTCAACCCCACTTCAAAGCTTACCCTGGCCAGCATTGGCAGTGACGCTGGAAACAACAGTGGTGTAAGCAGCAGCAGAGGCAATGTTCTTTCCAGCAAAGTTGGCCAAGAATCCAGTATCAGCGCGGCCACCGAGGTTTCCGGAAGACCCGAATCCGTTGACCTGGCAGGCACGACCAAGGTTAGAGCTGCAGACAGCATTGGTGGTGGTATCGGGCGAGGAGAACAGCTGTCCGGCAATGGGGGTCTCGACGGAAGCAACAATGTTCTGGAACACATTGCCCTCAGCGAGGACGTAACCGCCGGCACCGATCTCGAAGGCGTGGCCGGAGTTCTCGTACCAGTAGTTGTTGACCTGGAGAATATATGTTAGTTATATTTCCGCAAAGAGTTTATTGGGTGTTCCACTTACGGCGTGCAGAAGAGTGTTGCCCTGGACCTTGGGGGCACGTCCACTGGTGTGGTAGATGTAGTTGCCCTTGAGGGTAACGAGATCGCTGGATCCATCAAGGTAGATACCCCAGTAGTGGTATCCGTTGCAGGTAGCGGAGTAGTCGCTGGCACCGTTGATGAAGCTGTTGGAAATAGTGACACGCTTGGAGGCCTGGGTGCCGAGAACAATGTGCTGGCGAGAGATGCGGGCAGTGGTGACGTGGTCAATCCAGACCATGTCGGCGTTGTTGATGGTGATGGCATCACCGCCCCAGACGTACTTGGCGTTGATGTCGGTGATGGCAACGTTCCTGGGTGTAGTTGGTTAGTTTTGGGGTGGGGTTTTGTATAAAGTTTTTGCAGTAATATCTGCAGGCTGAGCTCTTACTGGATGATAACGTTGTTTGCGCCGCTGACAATACGGAGACCCTTGCCCTTGATGATACCGGCGCTGCCGGAGCCAACGATGGACTTGTTGGACTGGACGATTATGCCGAGGGTACCGGCGTTGTCGCTGGGAGCGGTCAATTAGTAATCGACTTCGGGAATTGATTGGAATGATCGGGGGTTGAGTTTGGAGGTTGTACATACTACTTGACAGGGGTGGAAGGAGCGTTGGGCTCGTAGTTCTTGCACCAGTTGTCCTGGTTGATTGCAACCTGGCAAGCAGCGGCAGTACCCCAAGGGGCGCAGCCGGTGCTGGTGGTGGTTCCCTCAGAGCCGGTGAAATCGAAGGTCTTGGTCAAGATGATCACGCGGGGGGAAGAGTCACCCAGGTACGAGACCAGCTCGGCTGTGGTGCTGGGGTAGACGGGGGTGGCAGAGCCACCGCCAGTGACGCCCTTGGCGAAACCCTCTGCGGCGCCGGAGACACCGACGGCGGCAGCTCGCACTGCGAGTGCTGCAAGGATGGCTGTGATCTTCATGTTGAGATCTGGTGAGTGTTAAAAGAATGGAATGGTTGGGAATGAAGAGTTGGAGAAGACATGTTGGGCGCGAGGGATGTGATCTTATATAGGAACAATAAGCAATCCAATATACATAGCTTTCCGAGCTAATCCGGGCTAAGACACAAGCATGTTTGACAATTATATCGCTCCACCCCGGGTAATCTCCGCCATGGCAGGCCGATATTGATTCGGTGAATAAAGACCGAAGCCCGAGGCGTCTTGGCTCTGGGATGGAAACGTGAGTGCCAAGTCTTGCAATGTGTTAAGGTTGTGCATAACCCACAATTTAGCGGAGAAAACAGCCAATACTATACAGGGAGTAGATGAAAAGGATCCGGAAGAATGCACATCCGACGTGTGTGCTTATGGGAGATGATAGTACACCAATAGAGGCGCATTCGAATAACTCGTATATTCGCATCCAAGTTCCTCGGTGGCGTTATGGTCAACAATTTCAGAAGTTAAAAGCCGAATAATCCCAGTCGTAAATCAAACCGGCATTGGAGAATTGGGTCCGGCGCTTGAAGTTGTTTCACATCAAGGATGTTCCCCACATTTGTAACTGCTTGGAGTAAGCTTGTCAACTTTGTGGCCGGACTCTTTACTCGGATGAGAACGGTCTCCGAGATCCAGTCAAAATATCTCTCCTTTTTACACAAATATCCCATGAATGGTCTGTGTTTCGGGTTTCTGATTTTTCCTTGCCCTGTGTTTATGTTTTATGTTGTAGACTGAAGTTGTGAAGGAGAATTTTTCTCCGTCTTGGCGAACATAGGGATTTTCCTCTGTCGATCTTTAACGGGGGAGGAGTTCGTTATTATCGCATCAATGAGAATCATATCCTAAATTGTAACTATGTGAAGACCAGCTACCTGTCATGATCTGAGTCTTACCCACCAGAGCTATCGGATGAGATCCACAAGTTCTTCCCTTCGACAAAATTTCGGGGATTTGATGGAGAAATATTAAAAGGAATATAGGCGTGTTTCACCTAGAGACGGAGAAATAAAAGGGATGAAAACTTATAAATCAATTCTAGAATTATATTCATTTAAATTGTAATCTATGTGATGATGTGTGTTATACAACAAAAAAGAACAAAAAATGTTCAGCTATAAATATCTCCAAAGTAGATCCACTCCAATATCTCCTCAAAGAACGGGGAGAGGACGCTCCAGGTAGCCACGCCACTGAGGAAGTGCACGGTCCCACTTAGCGCCTTGGTTCTTCTTCAGGTCCTCGATAGCACTGGCATACTTGATCAAGGTGGCCTCAGAGAAAGCAGTGTTCACAAGAGCAAGGCCAAAGGGCATACCGGAGACATCGCTGACGCCACCAGGCAGAGTGATGACAGGGTATCCAGCCTGGGCGGCGATCTCAACGCTCTGAGCGACATCGGGGGGAATAAGGAGACCGTCGAGAGTAACGTTACCCTGCTTCAGAGCAGCATCGATACCCTCCTCACGGGTAGTGCGACGGCAGAACTCCAAAGCCTGGAAGTAGGTCTCATCCATGATACCCTTGCTCTCGAGGGAAGCAAGGAGACCATCCTGGCCAGAGCCGAAGGCAGGGTGGATACCGGGAAGGCCACCCTCGGAGCCGTAGTTGTCGATGTTGTACTGGACGAGATCCTCGACGGTGCGGACGTTGGTGTTGTTGACCTCGGAGAGGTAGTCGCGCAGGTTGTTGTAGAAGTCGACCTTAATGTAGGAGTATGAGGACTCGTTGGAGTAGCCACGGGTGGTGCCGTAGTCCCAGTTCCAGCCATCGGGCGAGACAATCTCCTTGTAGTGAGGCAGCTCAGTGCCGTTGATGACAGTGGCACCGGCGGACTCGATCAACTCGACCAGCTCGAGAAGCTGGGCGATCTGGTCAGCGTCGCCGAGGGCCCAGAAAGACTCCCAGGGGATACCGAAAACGGCGCCCTGAAGAGCGGTCTGGTTAGTCAGGAATTGAGCGTATCCACCAACAGGGGTGAGACCCTCCTGGGCGGAGGTGTAGTTGTCGCGAGGGTCAATGCCGTAGATGGCATCAAGGGCGTAGACGGCATCACGGACGGTCTTGCCGAAGGTGCCGACGGTATCCTGGTGGGTGGACTCAGGGATGACACCGGCACGGGAGGTCAGACCAACGGTGGGCTTAATTCCAACAATGGAGTTACGCTGAGCAGGGTTAATGACAGAACCATCGGTCTCTGTTCCAAGAGCAATAGGAATCAGGTTAGCGGCAACAGCGACACCAGAGCCAGTGCTGCTGCCACCGGGGTTAACGGTGAAGTTGTAAGCACTGCGGCATTGACCACCACGGGCGCTGAAACCTTCGGAGTAGTTGTTGGAGCGCATGTCAGCCCACTCGCTGAGAGCAGCCTTACCGAGAAGCACAGCACCAGCCTTGCGCATGCCGTGAACGACGTGAGAATCACGGGGAACGACGTTGCCAAGCAGAGCCCAGCTGCCGGCAGTGGTCTCCAAACGATCCTTACTGGCGATGTTGTCCTTGACAATGAAGGGGATACCGTGGAGAGGACCACGGACATGGCCTTCAGTACGCTCAGCATCGAGCAACTTGGCAATGGTGTAAGCATCCGGGTTCACTTGCAGGATAGCACTAGTAAGGCTGTTAATTAAAAATTCTACGACACAGATTCAACATAAACATACTTCAAGTAAGGCTGGGTCTGGTAGACACGGTCCATGTAGCACTTCAGCAACTCGACGCTGGTGAAAGTGCCATTCGCCAGCTCAGTCTGGATCTGATCGACAGTAGCCTCCTCCAGCTGAAAGCCGTGACAGGTACGCATAGGGAACTGCGCAGCACCATCACCGCCCAGACGAGGGAAGTCATAGAGGTAGGGATCGGTGAGGATCTGCGAGTCGACCAAGTAGTCGGTCTCTTGAGCAATAACGGAGCTCGCCAAGGCGAGGCCGCTCACCAATGTCTGAATTAAAGGGGCCATGATGGAAATTAGATTGAAAACTTCCGCCACAAAACCATGTGGCAGAAATGCTAATATCTTGGGGGAGCTCGTGCTGTTATACTTCCGACAATAATATACCGTGGATCCTGGCTGCCCCTTCGGTGAGTGACTAATCGGACCCGATGAACCCGCATTCCCATGATGTTTTCATTTTTTTTTCTCCGCTGTTTTCAATAGTACACACTTGCTTTAGGCTTCTTCTTTTTCAATTCTATCTGCTTTAACCAGCTTCCATATTCGGTCTAATCACATTCTTTGTATTATCTTACCCAAACCATTGGAATTGGTGGCGTTTGTTCACCAACAAACCCTTCGTGAAAAATGTTCAAAATGACCAAAATGGCCTTTTAATTCACCTTGTAATCTACCCTCGGGTATTAATTTATCTATTAATCTATGGAAGACCTTGGTGACCAGCTATGGAACTGTCACCACCTGCCTAAAGCTGCATCTTTTACTGGAACCGAAGAATCTGCCGGACCCCATCGAGTACCACCGGAACCGAGTTACGCTCCGTTCGATCGATCCTGACCCACTTCGGAGGCATTTTGATTGGCTGCCTTGCGCGCGAAGGCCGCTTCGGTTCCAAAGATCTTACGACTAGGTCAGCTTAGCTCCTCTTAGCTCGGGCATTGCGCGTTATACGGACTAGTATTTTTATTGATACAAGGTGTAATATAGCGATGGAACCTATGAGATCACAGCATATCCAGAATACTAATGCGTATGGAAAAGGAAGTTCGCTTAGCGTCAAGTCGCATGCTAACCGATTTTTTCATCCACGTGGAAGAAGCAGATCGCATTAGTTCTGCAGACTTAGGGCTCTTAATTTGGATCTTATTTAATCTTATTTAGTACTCTATATTCTTAACAGGTGGCAGAGTACGGGCAAATATGGCATCTTAGGGTATATCTTAGGTTTATACTCCGTATACAGAGTCCCTTTATCACACTTTCCCATAAGCTTTGATTGTGCCCCCAATCCCGTGGTTCCGGAAGGCTCATATGTTTGGTACGGCACTCCCGTTGGCCACTGGCGTCGGGAGCCCTTGGAATTATTGAAAGTAAGACCCGCCGTTTCCACTTTCCTTTGAGAGAATTGAATTAGATCATTTGCCTTCGGGTTCCTTGGATAAGATGCCAGACCTTACTTATCCCACTGGGAGATCCTTTTTCCTTACACCCGTGATGTGCGAGGTCTCTACTATATCTTTCCTATCTCCGATAATGTCACTCATTTAAAATTCGCAATGACTATCCCCGACGATATCCTTGCTGCAAATGCAGCAGGGAGAATACCCAGCGGGGTCTCGCTCGAATATCTAGCAGGGTCCCGCGATAAGTCCGCCATTGCGGGAATCATTTTCATGGTATGCTTCACAGGCCTGTTGATGATTGTACGTCTTTTTGCCCGAGCATTCATTGTGAAGAAGATTGGTTTAGATGATGCATTGGCCGTCGTAACATTGGTAAGATCATCCACTTTTCACCCCAGATTCTGCACTGCACTAAATGTGCATGGACATCATAACGCAAAATTGGTGACAGATAGTTACAAAAATACATAATTAGCAACTAACAATGGCTCCCATTGCAGATGCTCTACATTGCCTTTGTCATCCTCTCCATCATCCTGATCAACTTGGGAAGTGGTCGCCACATTGAATACATCCAATATGTGCTATCCCTCCCCACGGTTCGCGACACCGAAGTCCTAGATTTCATTGCCCACATTCTTTACACAACGGCTCTATTTCTATGTCGTCTCTCCGGTCTAGCCTTCTACTACCGGCTCTCAGCCCGCTCAACAAAACTCCACCTGAGCATCATCATCGCCGCCCCGCTCCTTTTCGCCGCCTACCTACCTCAGATCTTCCTGTTGATCTTCCACTGCAAACCGGTAACAGGGTTGTGGCCCTACGAGTGGCAATCAGAGCCAAAGACCTACACATGTCTCTCATGGGGACTCGTGTACTCGGTGAACTCGGCGCTATCTCTCGCCTGTGACGTGATGATGTTCGCGCTCCCGGCAGCACTCATCAGGGGACTACACGTCTCCTTAGAAAAGAAGATCAAGCTATCGATTGTGATGTTCCCCGGTATCCTGTGAGTAGCCCAATTCCAAAAACACCAAGTCCACCCAAAACTAACATTATGTAGCGTAATCCTGATCTCCGCAGTCCGCATCTGGCTCGTTGTACAGGGTCAATGGGATCCCGACGGCAGCTGGGCCTACAACCCCATGTTGTGCGTTGAGAACGCTGAGATAGCTGCAACCCTAATTGCCCTCTCGGTGCCAGCGCTGAAACCAGTTTTCGGAAGCTTGTTCGCACGCTTGACCGAGTACACATCCAGCCACACGCGCTCACGCTCGACTAAAATAACCAGTCTTGGTCACTCTAAGACCATCGGCACTGGTGCGGTCTCCGGCAATCGGGATAGCAAGCGTCTCATTAATTGGTCGAAGATTGGGAAGGATGATTATGAGATGATGCCTTCTGAGGTCTCGATTTCGAGGGATGTTCGAGGCGGGTCGAGGGGGAGTGATCACAGTGGGGATGAGGGGAAGGATGGTCCGAGGAGTCCCGGCATTCGGGTTACGAATGAGGTTAATATTGTTCGAGACGATGAGAGTATTGTTAGGGTAGTAAAGCCTGGGTCTAGAGAGAGTTAGAGGTTTGTTTCTCTGTCTTTGTTCTAATAGATATAGATATATATATTAGACTACTTATATCACGTTAATGGTATTTCTTACGATATCCTACGCGCCCATGTGTGTGGCATTGACTGTGTCTTTCTCTTTTCTTCGTGAGCACTCGCTTCTATATCAACAGATATTGGCAGACAGGCCGTATAGAAACCTGGTCATTCACTCCTTTGTCGCTGTTGCTTTGGAGTGTTAGACATGAAACAAATAGTTGAACCATTATAGATGCAGCTTAGGTTTTCCTTGGCTGAAAAGGACCTCGATGTTTTAATATTTGAGAATGAAACTCGTGATGACTCGCGATGATTTGCTCGCAGCTGTCCAACATCTAAGCGCTACTGTTGGGTCGTTCTAATATCGATAATGTTATATAGACAATTAGTTGGGATAACAGTATCTGGGACTATATATAAATAAAGTGTTCTGTCTCGACAACTATGCATCTCACCATCTTCACTCTCTTTTGTTCCCATCTAAGTTTACTGGAAGTTATTAAACTCTTCAACTTCGATATCCACCTTGTCGTCGATACCATGGCTTCAAGATCTGATCCTACCAGCCAGGCACTTCTACCCGATACTCCACACCCGCATCTCAAAGTGGATCTAGATACACCCATATATGAACTCCTGTCCTGCTATGGTGAAAGTCACATCCACTTTCCAAAAAATCTCAAACAGTATTACGAGCTCAACTCGGCGACTCTCGACCGTCTGATCGTGTTTTTCTATCAATTCCGTCCCCAAACCACAGAAACTAGACGGTATCCCACGGCTGTTGATCCATGGCTTACGTACGATTACGAAGAGAAGATTTGGTATACATCGGCAATCGATATCGAAAGCAAGCGCTGCAGGTTCGGGGAATTTACCGGATTAACCAACGAGCTTGTGGACCCTAGTCTCCCTATCCGCGGAGATTGGATGTGGAGCATGACAAGCCGAAGGAATCATCTGGTAAAAGGCCCTCCGGCGCAGCCGTTGCGCAAAAACCCAAGATAAGGTGTGATAAACTAAAGCGTTTTTCCACATGGCTTGGTTTCGGGAATGCACGGCGTTGGTAATTTCTTTTTTTTTTGTCGCTGGAGGCTTAGTTTGTTTAGTGAGACATGAAACGGGGTTCTTTTCCCCTCTGGGTGGTATGATCCTTCGGTGAGATATTGCATTGTGGAGGTCACTCTACTCCATATGTGGATATGTAATTGCGTTAAAGGGAAGAATGCTGGAAGGCGAAGCTTTCTCAGTATCCTCCTACCCTTTATGTGAAAAATATCCCAGATCCACAGTTTAAAATGATAATTCCTGAATGATCTTACACTGCCGGATACTACCGGATTTCGAGGCTAGGCTTTGTATCTCGTGATGTGGTCAGTTTAGCTTCAAACTTGAATATAAAACCGGTTGGCGGTCCCTCGGACTGAACAAAACGCGAGGCCTCGGTCGTTCGGGTGTCACTATGACTAGAATTCCTGGTCCCAAGCTGGTCCTAAGCTGGCCCCAATGTTGGCCCCAAAGCGGAAACGTTGGCATTTGTCATAATGCATGACCCAACCGCTTTAGGGTGTAGTTCAAGCTGTTGAATAATCAATTCTGGTGCTTACCAACCTGGTCAATACTCGAGATGCTTCTAATGCAAAGCTGGTGACGATCATCGAATTGTCATCTAGCGAACATCTGAGGTATAAAGGAACAAGAACACCGAGTGTTCTAGAGAATAAAATATCTTTTCCATTCACTACAATTGACTTGTCTCAGTAATCCTTGACCAAGTACATTCAATTTCTACGATTCTACAGAATGACACTCAAATACCTCATCACAGGAGCGACTGGAGGCCTTGGTGCAGGAGCCCTATCCTACCTTGCTGCGAATGTTCCGGCATCAGAGTATGCTGCAGCGTCCTCAAGAGAGGAAAATCGCAAACAATTTGAAGACCGAGGGATCGCATTCCGAGTAGCGAGCTACGATGACCCCGAGACATTAGAGGCCGCATTCCAAGATGTGGAGAACCTCTTCTTCGTTAGCACCAACACCTTCGACATCGAGAAGCGGCGCAAGCAACACGAAAACTTCGTAGTTGCAGCGAAGAAGATGAACGTGAAACATGCAAGTCATCAAACTCCCCGCGCAACCATCCCAGCTAACACCAAAGTCGCAGGTATGGTATACATCTCTCGCATTTGGCGGGTATAATTCAGACTCCAAGGCGGCTGTCCAACAAGGCCATCTGATGACAGAGGAAATGTTGAAAAAGTAAGCCAAGCTCCGGTAGACAATCCACCCAGCCTCACTAACACCAGCCAGGGCCGATATCAACTTCACCTCCATCCGTGAGGGTTTATACACAGATGCCTTCCCAATCTTCATGGGCTGGTATCCGAGCACATCGACCGTCTATCTCCCCTCCGACGGGCCGATTGCCTTTACACTGCGGTCGGAGCTAGGCGAGGCAAATGCGCGATTGATGATTCAGGGTGGACACGATCGAGAGATCGTACTGCTCACTGCGCAGCAGACTATCACATTCTCTGAGATCGTGGATCTGATCAACGAGACGACCGGCCGAGATGTTCAATTCAAGCTTGTCTCGCCGGAGGAGTTTGTGCGATTGAAAACGGCCGACGACGAGGGCGGGAAGTCAGAAGGTTTCTTCCAGGCGTTGTTGTCTTGGTATGAGGATATTTCAAAGGGGGAGACGTCCACGATCGATCCACTCATGGCGCAGGTGCTAGACCGTCAACCCGTGCCACCGCGTGAGGCTATTCGGGCGTTTTTGACGGAGAATCGGGACTATGAATGGCATCAGAACTATGTTAATCGCGGTTAGTTGGTTAGTTGATTAGTGGTTGACTGTAATGGGTCAGAAATATATGTCGTGATGTGACAATGTGGTAGTTTCCAATGGTTGGCATGTGAGTCGACCGGAGTAGCCGTTATCCCGTCTCGGCAACCAGACCGGGAGTGGCCTTGTAACCTGAGGCATTCAATTTTGTGGGTTTTGACTGGGGAAATCACTGATCAACGGAGGTTGGAGTAGATAAGATGGAAGATGGATATATTTTATCAATCGCATCACATTGTAACTTCCAATTGACCTTCATTAACACATATATAATCATGTTGGAGTGTAGTATCGGCAGTAGACAAATCCCTGATTGTCCAAGTTGACGCCGTGTCCGCCCGAGGCTTGTAAACACCTTTGATCTAATTGGCCGAGACCCGCTGATGTCAGCATCTACACACCCGACCCGTCAAACCCGAGGTTACTAGCGAAGAGACTCCTTGGACTTCATTTCGTTGTTGAGGATCTTTGTTGGTTTGTGAAACTCGACTTCGTCGTCGCTACCTTCACATTTTGAAAACTCTCCCCTCTTATTTTGTCTCTCTGCTATCAATCTCATTCTCTCTACCCTCTCCACCCTCTCTTTCCTTTTCACCTCGGTGTTTTTCACATTTCCGATCACCCGCCATGGCCTCCCTCCGTACCACTTCGCGATTGCTCGCAGCATCGCGGCCGATGTTCCGCCCTGCCTTCGCTCGCACCTACGCGACCGTCGAGCCTACTCCCTCCGAGCAGCCCAAGATGAAGACCTTCAAGGTCTACCGTTGGAACCCGGACCAGCCCAGCGAGAAGCCCCAGATGCAGTCCTACGACCTCGACCTGAACAAGACCGGACCCATGATGCTCGATGCGCTCATCCGGATAAAGAACGAACTCGACCCTACCCTTACTTTCCGGAGATCTTGCCGTGAGGGTATTTGCGGTTCTTGCGCCATGAACATCGACGGTGTCAACACTCTCGCCTGCTTGTGTATGTACCCGGCCCCGCACACGGGCAATGTCGAAGCATCCGACAGCTTCCGAATGATAGCTAACACTTTGTCTGTATAGGCCGTATTCCCACCGATACCAAGTCCGAGTCTCGCATCTACCCTTTGCCTCACACCTACGTCGTCAAGGACTTGGTCCCTGATATGACCCACTTCTACAAGCAATACAAGTCTATCAAGCCATATCTCCAGCGCGACACTCCCACTGAAGACGTGAGTTATCTTATATGGCAGCATCACCTACAAAAACTAACAATTGCCAGGGTCTCGAATTCCGCCAATCCCCCGAGGATCGCAAGAAGCTCGACGGTCTCTACGAATGTATTCTCTGCGCCTGTTGCTCAACCTCCTGCCCATCCTACTGGTGGAACAGTGAGGAGTACCTCGGACCCGCCATCCTGCTCCAGTCCTTCCGTTGGTTGGCCGATTCCCGTGACGAGAAGACCGCCGAGCGCAAGGCCGCTCTCGACAACAGCATGAGCGTCTACCGCTGCCACACCATTCTCAACTGCACACGGACTTGCCCCAAGGGCCTGAACCCAGGTCGCGCAATTGCCGAGATCAAGAAGATGTTGGCTGTCTAGATTTGTGGATATAAAACGGAGTACCGCGGAAGTTTCTTTTCTGTCCAATGCCTTTCCAGTCGCCTTTCCTCTGTTTCTCTATTTCCTATTTTCTTCTACTTTTTTTTCCCGACTACTTCACGGATGTTTCTATAGGTGTAAATTGTGGACGTTTGTTTCTTACAGGAATGCACTGGTAGTCCATTCGGCTGCATGATGATAGCGCAACCTATACCTTTGTATTGTACCAATCTATCAATCTAAATGTCTGATATTTCCATATATATCTATATATCTGCAATCTATATTGGTCAACAGCATAGTGTTTCCCTCGTAACACATGCTAAGCGAATCCCAATACACTTACCCCTGTATAGGCTAGGCTCATTCGGCTATATATTCTGCCCACACCAAGACCACCACCACGCTAAAAAGGCCACCTGGACATTGCATCCACAAATCGTACTAGGGACTCCGGTGATTACTCAACTGGGCTGTTAGCACAGTTGGTAGTGCGCCCGCTTCGCATTATTGCGAGCGTGCGGGAGGTCCTGGTTTCGATTACCAGATAGTC